TCAGAATGAGAGTCCAAACAGCTGATAAAAACATCACCATAATCCACAAGTAATCCACACCACTCCAGTCCATCAGTTATGTCTTGTGAAGTGAAAAGCTGCACGTTTGTAAGAAACATTTTAACTTCAAATGGTCACTTCTGGCCAAAATACGAGTCCTCTATCCATAATATTGCTTTCTCCAATGAAAAGGTCTTGTGCTCTGAATCAGGAGAGAAATATGCACAGATCATGCACTGTTTACAAGCAGAAACAGTCCAAAACAGCTCTAAACAAATATGTGGGTGGATTTAATGTGAGAGGACAACAGGAGATGGACTTTTCCACCGGAGGAAGCGTTATTGTGGATTATGGACTCATATTTTGGCCAGAAGGTTTAAGGTTGAAACATCTTAATGATGGATGTGTTTCTTACAAACACACAGCTTTTCTCTTCACAAGACATTAACAAGATGGACTGGAGTGGTGTGGATTACTTGTGATGTTTTTATCAGTTGTTTGGACTCTCATTCTGACGGCACCCATTCACTGCAGAGCATCCACTGGTGAGCAAGTGATGCAATGCCACATTTCTCCAAATCTGTTTAGATAAAAAAAAAAATCATCTACATCTTGTAGGATGAGTACATTTTCAGTAAATTTTCATTTTTGGGTCAACTATTCCTTTAACAGTTTGAGGAGCTTAACATGAGTCAGAAATGAGCAAATAAAGTAAACAAGGCAGGTTGTGTCTCCTTAGTGTCCTGCAGCCGGTATGTGTTTCTGTCCAGCGCATGTCAACTTACAATTTACAATTGACTAGGGAATGTCACTTTTGTCCTGTACATTCCAGGTTGCAAGGTGGAAACGGGCTGGAAAAGACAAAAATGATGCTGTAATGGGCGCTCGCACAATGGAGGGCAGCGTAAGGGTCAATGAGGCTTATTGTAAAGCGCATTACAGGAGGAGACACAATGCAGCGCGGCTGTTGGCAGTAAAATCACGACGTGTGTGTGGTCTCAAATGACCAGCGTTACACTTTATCAAGGCCCTGTGCTTGTCTCCCGGTGATATATGGCTTTCTGTATTAGTAATAAATGTAATGTGCTGTGTGTGCAGTCGATGAATACACTTGTGTATGTGCTCGAGCTCACGCAGACGCATTTATCAAAAAGCAGCACACTGCTTTCGCCATGTCTGTTTGCTTATGAATATTCCTGCGGCCGGCCGGAGCGTGGTTGGGTCAGAAGCACACAGCCACAAAAGAATATGGAGAAGAAAAGACAGAAAGTGTAGCGGTTTTGGTTTTGAGTTGGGCTTTTGTTCCCGGCTCTACACCCTCCCCTTCAGCGGGACAACGGCGAGGAATGGAGGCCTTTTCAGCGGAGGGAGTGGTGCTCCGAAAACACCCTCGGCCCGGGACGGTCACCAGCTCCTCTCTGTGTTTGAGGCTGTCAAAGGGGCCGGAGGGATCCACCCCTGAACTCAAACATCACTGTCTGCCCCGCAAGTGACTGACGTGACGTGACACGACTAGAAGACTCCCATTATAGCCAACAAAGCTGTGTACAAACAAATACGCTTGAAAAGGACTGCTTTGGCATCTGCAACAAAGCGATATAAACAAATCTTTAACTTAAAGTTTATTAATAGTGATATTAGTAATAGTACATATTTATGTTATTTTTTAATATTTTTATTTTTTATTATTTTTTATATTTTACTGATTTATTTTTTATTTGGCTGGAATTTAATTATCATTTTGTGTGTGTGTGTGTGCACTTATAATGGAATGGAAAATTGCCTACTATATCAAATTTCCTCAAAATTATCAACATGATCAAAACTTTGCTGAAAATCCTGTTGTACACAATACATTCTGTCATCTCATTGATAGTTTACACTTTTTAGTAAAATAACCTTTTAGTGTAACTGTAAAAACGTCCACCTTCAGCTCCTGGTTCATGTGTCTCTTTACTGATTTTTATAAAGTTAACTTCATAACTTTTATATTGTTAGTAGTATTCATAAGTGGAGCAAGGCCTTCCCCTGGCCATGGGGCAGAAATGAACGGGGCTTGGGACAAAAATGCCCCTGCACAATTACACCAAATCCATTACAGCTGTCGCGAAGAAAATGAAATTTTGGATCTGCTAATGTTGCATCATGTTTCTTTTTACACATTTTTACGTGTTTTTACAGCGTTGCGCATTATACAAGCATGTACAGTCTTTAGAGTGTTTTTATAATGTTGTTCATACCCCTAGCAGTTATTTTGTATTGCAATTATGTAAAAAAAAAAAAAAAAAAGCATTGTGCATTACAGACATTCTTTTATCATTTAAAAATGTCCTGTTATATTTGAATAATAATGAATAGATTGAATACAAAATAGTTTTTTTCCTCCTTGAGTATGAACTTCATATTCTCACCATAGCATGCAAGATTTTTCTTTTCCTGACTATTATTTAATACGTCAGGCTTTACAGGGTTAATTCTTCCATACAACAAAAGTGTGTTATTTGAGTGTAAAGTTGCCTAAATTGTCATGTAAGCAGTGGGACTACTTTTCCTGGTGGATGTATTTCTGGTTATGAATACTCATGTCATTCCTTTGGGTGGATGTTTCTCTATGTAAACAGGTTTTTCTGCATATGTATCATATCAGAGTTACAGTGTGAGCTCATATGAAGTGTTGTTGGGCAGAATGTGGCTCACAGACGAGGGTGTGTTATGGCCTCATCTTCTTCTGTGGTTATTAATGACCCTCTCCATCACCACATGAACTCTGTGTCATCTGGGGGTCTCGTCCCTCCTCTCTCTCTCTCTCTCTCTGTGTGTGTGTGTGTGTATCTTTGATTAGGTATATGGCATTGCATGTACATTAGTTCGGGTAACATCTGGAAAACATGCAACAATAATAGTTTCAATGTGCATTATATGCATTAAATTATAATATACACATTAAAACATAAAAATAAATGTATTTATATCTCAGCAATTTTGAGTTAAATAATAACTTTTGATTCAATATGCAGCTTGGTAATTGCTAATTACAAAAATAAAGTGCATATGATATATACATACAGTAAATGATAACTAAAAAATGTTTGAACTAGTGCATAATTAGTCAAATATTTTGTTTAAAAAAACATTATATAACAATAACATTAATGTAAGTCAATAAATATTTTTTATTTATAATAAATATATACAGTTTTATAATAAATATTATTGTTGTTGTTGTTGTCAATTCAATAATAATAATAATAATAATTATTATTATTATTAAATTCGAATGATTTATTATGAATGACAATAATTTATTGACAATAACTCTATTATTATAATGATTATTATGGTGATGATGATAACAATAACAACAACAACAATATTATTATTATTAGTATTAGTATTGTTGTTGTTATTAATCAAGTAAATACATAATTTTATTATTAATAAAATATTATTATTAAATTATATATTCTTTTTAAAACAATCATTATAATATTTATTATGAATAACAACAATTATTGATTTGATTAATCTATTATAATCATGGTACTAATAATGATAATAACAATAATAAAATGTATTATTATTATTAGTATATTAACCAAGTCAATAAATAATAATAATAATAATAATTAATATTATTATTTAGTATGGATAACAATAATTTATTGACAATAACTCTATTATTATAATGATTATGATGACAATGAGAACAAAAACCAACAACAATAAGGCTAATGCTACTACTACTAATAATAATCTCATATTTGTTGGATAATTACATGTATTAAATATTTAAGTATTTATGATATTTAAATTTTGTGTAGAATAATATATTATTAATATGTGACCCTGTACCACAAAACCAGTCATAAGGGTCAATTTTTCGAAATTGAGATGTACACATCATCTGAAAGCTGAATAAATAAGCTTTCCATTGATGTATGGTTTGTTACGATCGGACAATATTTGGCCGAGATACAACTATTTGAAAATCTGGAATCTGAGGGTGCAAAAAAATCTAAATATTGAGAAAATCGCCTTTAAAGTTGTCCAAATGAAGTTCTTAGCAATGCATATTACTAATCAAAAATTAAGTTTTGATATATTTACAGTAGAACATTTACAAAATATCTTCATGGAACATGATCTTTACTTAATATCCTAATGATTTTTGGCATAAAAGAAAAATCAATAATTTTGACCCATACAATGTATTTTTGGCTATTGCTACAAATATACCCCACGACTTAAGACTGCTTTTGTTGTCCAGGGTCACACATTGCTTGTTATTACAAGTGGTTATGTATGAAATAATTAAAGAGCAATTATAAGGACCGGTCAGGCAAACTGGCAGCGTTTCACTCATTCCTGAGGACAAATTCCTACACATTTCACTATTCCTCAAAACCATGAATACCTGGCCATATGTAGCACAATATCTGAATTTGTGTCCCATTAAAAGCTTGACTATACCACTGTAATCTGATGCAGTTTAAGATTACTATATATATACTTTGTAGTCGGCTCGCATTCGAGTTTTATCACTTCATTGCTGACTGCTTAATTTCAAATCTATTGCTGAATCATGCCGTTTTTTTAGGCCAGACTTTGTTAACTTACTCCAAAAACTAGATATATACTCGTCCTCATTCAATAAATCAACTATTCTGCCATCTTTTCCCCACAGGTATGGGGATGAATACACGCCGATGAAAAAAAGGGGAAGCGGGGGGGGGGGGGGGGG